TTGTATTCAAAATATGTTTTGCTGAATTGAAATAAAGTTAAATATTTTTGAGTCTGGGCGCAACATCCGTATCAGCACCGGGCGACAGACTGTGTTAAACCGGCAGTGGATATGACCGTCAAATTCTTCACTGTAGGTGCACAGACTTGTCTAAATTCATTTCAACATTAGAGGAACAAAGTAGTAACATCATTACTCTTTCTGATAGAGGAATAAAGCCAGTGATTGATGTATTGGTAATTTTATCCACAAAAATTTCGGCTCCGTTTGGATAAGTACGATTGTCGCTTCCAGAAAATTAACCATAGCTTGTGGGCTTTTACAATAATTACCCACCCATTGAGTTGTGTAACTTCCCTGTAATTGAGATCTACTCTTCAGGCATTATAGTCTCAGATATTGTACAGCAACTTACGAAGAGCCGTAACCAAACCTTGATTATTTTATCACTGCTATCAGTGGATCTTCTCCAGGGGCTTCACCATTTCTCAATCTCAGGATTGCTTCCTCCAAGCATGGCTGCTCAATCTGCGGTTCTACAATCATTGTTTCTTTATACTTTTATTACATTAATCAACAAACCATTACGCATTACTATCTTTTTGTATTCCTAATATCTTTCTTGCACATAATTGCTTTATTGTCTTTGTTTTCTTTCAATTTTCATGAGAAATGGAAATAATTCCGGATCAATTCCCACGTGCAAATTATCAGCCAAATTTCTTGATATTTTGATAAGCATTCTGGGTCTTTTAGCTTATCTACATTTAAAAGTACTCACGCCATACAGTGATTTCAATCATAGTCTGTGCCCCCTTAAAGTTCGCACGTTCGTCACAGATTAATCTGCGTCGATATTTCTCTCTTTAGCAATATGCGTCTTTAATTTCACATGATAAGTCGATATTTGTTAGTTTAGATTTGTTCCTGTAAACTAAATTTCATCACGGCAGACCACAGAAGAAAAAATAAAACAATTTTGCAGGGAATGCTCGATTTATTTCTTACAAATTTAAAATAATTTAGAGCAGAAAATAGAACCTAAGCCAAGAACACAATTATAACAGTTTCCCAAAACAGCTTTACCAATTAATCCATGATAACTCACACAAAATTAAGTATATATTTGAAAGTTCAATATCGTAAGTACAATCTGATGAATTTTATTTGATGATTTGGAGGTGTTAAAATTATTACTGGACATGTTTTCATGAGTTGCTCAGATCAATAATTGTAGATATGAAAAATATAATTAGCGTAAACTATGGTTTTTATTTTCGACTATTTGAATTTAACCAGTTGCAAATTATTTAATTTTTTTAATTACCAAACCCAAAATTTTATATAGGGTGACGGTAGTTATAATACAACTGAAATATTTTAGTTGTATGTATTAGAAACAAATTGTGTTGGTAAACTTAAATCTTACACAGAAAAGTTCATGAGATTGATCCTAGATTAAGGTCGATTCGGTCGGAGTTGTAGATGGTGTATTCGATAACAATTTATTAAAAAATGAGAGTATATGCGGACAAAACAAACTTGAAAACCTGAATCATTCAGCACGACATTGGAAGATTCTGCAGCTATTAGTTGTTTACTTCATATTTACATGTTTTTACTATTTTATCACAATTTACATATATTTTGCTTTCTCGCCAAGGACTGACAGTTAGCGCAGCCAGCATGCTACCTTTTTCGGTTTAGTTCTCGTCTGTTTTTTTTGCGAAAAGAATAACTAAAAGATCCAAAGGATTTTTGGTATGTTCCAATAATTAAGAAGCTATGATTTAAATTGTTTTAATGAACGCTTTTTTTGTTAAAACTACGATATACTTCTTTTCAGCTCGAAAGTAGACAACTAGTGCAGTAAAACTATTTTTTGGTTAAAGACAAGATGACTAGACACAACAGAAACGCTGTCTTAAAACAGTGACAAAATAATGTTTGTTAAAATTACGATAACTATGACTGATACAGTCGTAAATTGAATAATCAGTAAAGATCGGTAACGGCGAAGAATATGATTATGATCTAATAATGAGAATTTTAGAAAATAACTCTTTAAATCATTAATGTCTTAAAATTACGAATTCCCCTTTTTTAATTCTCGGTAAACATGGAATAAAACCATCTTAATAGCAACTTAATGTCCATCAGCTTAATTCAGTCCGCTTTTGTATATATTGAGTACATTTTAAAATGTTGTCTTGAAATAATATATTGTACTAATAATTACTATGATATAAATTTTAGACAATAGTGTATTTTCTAGTTTTATTAGGAATAAGCCACAAATTAAGTTTATTTTTAACGTTTCAATTTCCACTTCGGAAATCGTTCTCAAAATACGAAACATTAATAAATTACACAAATTTTGTTTTGTGTTACTTGGTGAAAAATTCTTCTATTATTCAGTTCTATCTTATTCATTCGTATTGACAAAATTGAGACATATATTATAAATTTTAAAGTAGAAGACTTTATTGTAAGATAGTTCATTCGATTACATGAAATCAACTTAAACTTGAGAATATCAGTCAGAAAAATCATAGCAGGTGATTCGTCTTTAAAAAAACAACCACCACATGCAAGGATACATAAAGTTATCCTGTTAGTGATTTCATAGTAAATAAATTCCTTACAATAAAGTCACCCCAGGAACGCAACTCAGCTATATTGGCAATATAATTTTAAAGTCGTCTACTTTAAAATGTATAATATATATCTGAATTGTCAATATGAATGAGTTAGATAAAATTATTTAATAAGAATTTTTTACCAAGTAACAAAAAGTGTTTAATTAATTACTGTTTTGTATTTAGAGAACGATTTCCGAAGTAGGAATTGAAACGTAAAAATAAACTTATTTTAAACCTAAATTTTGGCTTATTCCCAACAAATATAATAATTGCAATAAGATGCCACAAGAAAATAGTGTATTGATTGACTATTTGTTGAAAACGTTTAACTAGTAAAGCTATTTTGGGAAAGTTGTACTGTAGTGTGTATTCATTATCAAACTTTATAAGATATGTATAATTAAGTTAACCAATTATAAAAAGTTCCCTGCTTTTTGTATTTTTTTGTAACAAAATTATGTTGTTATACCAATGCAAAAATCGTTACCCAGTGTGTGAAATAAATAATAATGATAAATGAAAGTAATTTTCGCATTAGTGCAACAACTTTACATACATTTAACTTCCCCCCCATAATAAAAAAGAACAAGTTGAGATTGTCTAGAAAATAACAAGAACAATTGAAATGTTTTAATTTTGAAAGTCGAATTTATAACGTCCTCATAAATATCACAAAAAAAGTATTAAATATGTCTCTGATATTGAAAGTATTAAAAGTGAATGAAATCGTTTAAATTTTAGACATATTTAACAGTTGATCTTTTAATAATCACTAGGTAAGTAATAACCGAAAGATCTGACAGTTACTACACACAAAAATCTCCTGCAATTTATTTACGTATGAGCGTACACTATCACAAAATCCCCCATAAACAATTGTCACTGTTATCACTTTTTTTGGAGTCTCTTCTCTCCCCACACTTTTGTATAGTCTTTCATTCATAAAAGAAAGTGAAAATCCACCGTCTATCACTATGATAATCGTAACATGATAGTACTGAAAAAACGGAGATTTTGTTGGACTAATTTTCTTCAGCATTATCATAAACAATTTTAAGCTAGTATTTTTCAAGAAATTAAAATAGAAAGTTTGAAACCACATGGGTAACTTTGCTGTTTCAAAATGACGATGGCATAATTGCTCATAACACGTTATCATATATTAAATTTTAATTTAATATAAAATTTATTTAAAATTACTCTTCTGTCGAGTTTATAAAGGAAGTGAAAAGTACGGATCTGTCATTTGAACATAATATCACATATAATTTATTTTTTAATTTGCAACATTAATACACTCTTACACAGCACTAGACCGAAAATTAAAGGTTAAGTTGTCAATAAATATAATGCAGTAAGAACTATTTCTTGTATTCCAATCGTTACTACAAATTAGCAGTTCTTACAACAGAGATGTAAGTATACTAGTATTACTTACACTTTAAACATTTATAAATATTTAAGTTTGATCACAGACACAATAAATATTTAAGATAAAATGAGTAAATATGACAAAGATTCAATTATTCGTCGAATTTAAAAATTGTCTTTTTATCTTGATTTCTCTTTTAATAAATCTTCGGTGATATATTGAATAATAAATTAAATATAATAAATTAATAAATAATTATATTAAGTTATGTGTAAGTATGTTTTAATATTTTTATTTTAATTTGATTAAAAAATAGTTTTAATACCAACAGGTAGGTCCTCAAATTTGGATTATGAAGCAATTATTCATGTCACAGTCTATTTTCTAACTTCCTGGAAAAAATTAACCCCATAATGATACAAACAACCTTTAAATATTACTACAAATCGACGTTTTAGCTGCTACACATAACCAAATAGCTGGAAGTTTTGTATTCAATGACTTAGCATTCAATCAAATCATTTTACTTTAATCTTGAAATTGTTATAACACTTACATTTTTTGATAATTTAAACCTTTTTATATATTGTACTCAGTCATTTTAGATAACCTTCATTTTTTCGACATTTTTAATGTTCATTGTATTATTTTTTTAACCTTTATATGGAATAATTTTTATTTTCACTTTACTTTTATATCACAATTGATATAATACACCATATCTAATAATTAGAAAAAGTTATCATCAATTTAGAATCAATAAATTTGTTTATATGTAGCAGTAATTTATGATCGTTTTTGTAATAAATATCACAAATGAATTAAATTATCATATTATCATATTATCATTCTGTATAAACATTCGAACAAAAAATATCTTCTTTGAAAAAGAAATTAAAGTTACTTTTTCAGTTTTGCTTTATGTCCTCTAAATATTTACACGATTTTGAGTCATCGAGTCACACTATTAATATTTGCCACACTTATTATTTTCCTGTTTCGATTTCTTCATCATCCACTTTTGGTACATAAAGTTTAGGATCGATAACTTTAGGAATGGGTTTGATTTCAGTACCGAGTTCTTGTTCAATACGGTGAAGGGAGAACCTATCGTCGTAGGTGATCAAATTTATTGCAATACCCAGGTGGCCAAATCTACCAGATCTACCTATACGATGTAGATACGTTTCGGCCATTTTCGGGAAATCAAAATTTATTACGACATTAACGGCTTGTACATCAATACCTTAAAAAGAATAAGAAAGATTAAAAAATTGTATTCAAAATTATATGATAAATCTACAAATTTCATTTGAGACGTTCTTTATCAACTCAATTTTCCAAGTAAGAATTTAATATTAAAAAAACACATTCAGAGCAACCAAAACCTCTTAATGAGCCATAACAGATTTCCCCAAAAAATATTGTGTTTTCTCTTTATTTATCATTTGATTTTTGTAGTCCTGGGAAAATAGCTGTATTTTTATGAGCATTACATAATGTTTATTCGCTAAATTGATTTTTTTGTCCAATAATTTTTTATAGCTCGAATGTTTTGTATTTTTATATTCATTACATAGGATTTATTTGCTAAATTATTTTTTTTCCATCCCTTTCCTTAGTTCCAAGGTATAACACCCTGTATCCCAAGATACAATGCTGTGATGTAACTCGGGATACTTAGCAAGGGTAAAGAGAATAGTTTTTTACTCCCTTATTAATTGACATTTTATATTTTAAAATATTAATTGATTCCCTAAAACATTGGCTTTAGTTCAGTATTAATAAAACTATTAAAAAATGTGCCCAAGTAATAATAAAAATCTTTGTTTCAAAACCGTCCCAAGGTACAATGCTTTCCCTATACTATTTTTGTTTGGCTGTCTCTATACATAATAATATATATAAATAACCACCACAACAGAAGACTCGCGAAAATTCTACCAGAAGATAAACAGTTGCAGAAAAGAATTCAAACCCAGAATAACAGCATGTAAAGACAGAGATAGTTCAACAATTAGTGACAAAGAACAGATACTAAACAGGTGGGAGAATCATTTTGAAGAACTGCTGAAATGGTGGTGACACCCTTTTTAAACACATGCACAAATTAGTAACCGAAATCTGGCTACATAAGGAAACGCCCAGACTGGAAATTAGGTGTAATGTACCCTCTTCACAAAAAAGGAGATATGATGGTGTGTGATAATTATCACCCTACTTAACATGGCATATAAAGTATTGTCCAACGTATTGTCCAACGTATTGTACACCAGATTAATCCCATATGCTGAACAAATAGTTGGGAACTACCAGTGCGGTTTTACCCAATAAATCAACAACGGATCAAATCTTCACAAACGCACAGAAACCAAGTATATGTATTATACTAGATCAGGCAACCAGGTACATAGACTACTATGTGATGATCTGGAACTGGAAGGTGTAGACACCTTCATCTACCTGGGCTTGCTGCTGACCAAAGACAATAATGTCAGCGAAGAAATTAAAAGAATAGTGCTTGCCAATAAGTGCTATTATGGCTTGAGTAAGCAGATGGCCCCAAAACTACCCAGAAAAATTAAAATTACCATATATAAAACACTAATAAGGCCAGTGTTAACATACGGGTCAGAAACGTGGTCACTTACACAGAACGACCAAGAACTGCTTAAACGTTTCGAGAGAAAAATTCTAAGGAAAATATATGGAGGAGTCCAAGAACAGGGTTTGTGGCGTAGGCGCTACAACTTTGAGTTATACAGAAGTTTTGGGGATCCTGACGTTGTAAAATGTATTAAATTGGCACGCCTTCGATGATGCAATTAGGTAAGATGAAGAAAGATCCAGAGGAAGACCAAAACTTAGGTATCAAGATAACATAGAGGATGATCTAAAATCCATCGGAGTTAAAGCATGGAGAAGAGTTGCCAGAGATAGGGGCGAATGGAAAATTGTTCTGAAAAGGCTTTGGCTCATGAAGAGCTGTAATGCCACTGATGATGATGATGATATCTATACATATTGAATGGTGCCCATAAATCTATTGTATCCATGTTTTTTTTTAATGAAATAAAATTTGTACACGTCGGGTTTTACATGTTATTGACTTGGACATGTTGTGTTTTGACCTCAAACTCATGCTTAAAATGACAAAAACCAGAAAAACCTAATATTTCTTATTAAACAAAAATATGTGTGGTCATAGGCATACATCAATATGAAAAACAATATATTTAAATATCGAAATATGTTTTTTCCAAAAGCTTTCAGTTTTGTTGTTGTCTGCTTGCTACTCCCTCAAAACATCTTGCGCAACTAGCTTATTTTGACGTGGATGCTGTACGCTTTCTTGTTTCAGCGATTTGCAAAGATTCTCCATAGTGCTTTTCAATCAGTTTACTTATACTGTTCTTTTTATCTGGTTTTAACCTTTAACTACTCGCGCTGGTGTATAAAATACACCATTTCTCTAAAAGAGCGATAAAATCCAAATTCCGTATCTCCCACTTTTTACACTCTATGTAACCTTGGACCGATGTATTTACTAACACCATGGACGTCTTTATTTATACGTCCGTGACTAACACAGTTGCACACTGATAGCTGTAGAGTTCGTTGATTTATTTATCACTTCCTTAGTGCAGTACAAACAGTTTGGTGAATAAAATACACCGCGAGGTTAATAATGTAATTGTTCAGTGAATGGGTGTTTATGTTGATTTTTGTACATTTTTATTATTTTTATTATGTGTTCATTTTATTTTAGGGACAAAGTAAAAATCAAACATCCCAACAAATTGACCCAAATGGAATTAGAGAAGCTGGCTTGTTATTTACGATTCCGATTCGGAAGAAACGACGATGCTGATACTTCTGAAGAGTGTATAGAGGAGAGTGAACATGACTCAGAATCCGAAATCGAAGGTAACGACTCCCATGATGATTTAGAACATGTTCAACCTAGCAGTTACTTTATTGCTAAAGATAAACTGACTAAATGGAATAAAAATCCACTAAAGAGCAAATTTAGTAAAGTCAGCGCAAATAATCTTACAAAAATCTTTCCTGGCGTCAAACAAAAAGCAAGGGATATTCAAAATGAAGTAGATGCTTTTATGAGAATATTCACAGATGAAATGATAAAGTACATTACTCAATGCATGAATCGACACATTACAAATGTTAGACCACAATTTATGCGAGAATGTGATGCAAAAGACGTATCAAAAGTAGAAATGGAAATAAAAAACCATTTATAGGTTTGCTTTTGTTTTGGATACAGGAAGCACAATCATATCCACTTTTTGGAACTTTGGACAACAGATGGTACCGGCTCTGAAATTTTTCATGCATGTATGAGCAAAAACAGATTCTTATTTTTACTCGCCGTTATTCGATTCGATGATAAAAGTACCAGAAATGAAAGAAGGGTAGATAAGTTAGCTGCAATAAGATGGGTCATAGATACATTCGTAACAAATTTCACATTTTTAACAATTTATGAAATGTTGATACCTTTCCAAGGACGTTGTAGTTTTCTTCAATATCTTCCGAGCAAACCCGCGAAGTATGGACTGAAATTTTTTATTTTGTGTGATGCAAAGACATTTTATGTATCAAACTTTGAAATTTATTGTGGTAAGCAGCCCGAAGACCCCTACAGCATCCCAAATACACCTAGTGCAATTGTGCACCACTTGTTGAAGGAAGTAAAAGGTACTAATCGGAAATTGACATGTGATAACTGGTATTCAAGTTTTCCGCTAGCAAAGGAATTATTGGAAGAGAAAACTACTGTGATTGACAACATGAAAAAAAAAATAAACGGGAAATACCGCAAGAGTTTTTACCTCATAAAAATAGAACTGTTAAATCTTCGTTATTTGAATTCCAAAAAAATATAACCTTGGTTTCCCATGTACCGAAAACAAATAAAGCGGTTGTATTGATCTCAACGATGCACGAGAATGGAGATATAGATCCAGTGTCTAGTAAACCTGATATTATCTTACAATATAACGCCACCGAAGGTGGAGTTGATATTGTTGATAAAATGTTTGACACATACTCAGTATCAAGAAGAACAAGGCGATAGACATTGTCTATATTTTTTTAAATTATGACATAGCGGGAATCAATGGACAACTTCTCTATAATGCAACTCACGTCAATGCACCTTATAAGCATAAACGGGAATTTTTGAAAGTGCTCTCCTTAGGTTTGATGAAGCCATACCTCTCTGAATACGCGCAGTATTCAATCATTGCCACGTGAAAATAAAAGGTTTTCTGGCAAAATATAAAAAGACCAACAGAAGACAATGAGGAACCTCCTGCAAAGATCAAAGCGCGGTGTTTCATTTGCGGTAGGAAAAAAAATCGAGTCACAACAATCATCTGCGGAAGTTGCACAAGGTCAGTTTGCAAACAACATATGACAACAGTTGTTACATACGATTGCTGCAAAAATGTAGAAGGCAGTGAATAATACAAACTAACAGTGACACATGTGAAGTTTTCATTCTTGAGTTATTTCTTTGTTAAGGTTTTGTCTTCTTAAAAAAAAAATATTATTACTTTATATATCACTAAAAATGCATTAAAAATCAAGGCATCACGTTTTTTATCCCTATACATTAATATAAATAATTGGTATTTATTAGATCTGATATTAATAAATGTGGTGTATAGAATACACCCCGCGGGTAGCTACGTGAGATTCTGGAGCTTGGGTAGTTAAAGATTAATAATCCACCTTCACGGCTGCAGGTTCCATAGACATTTGCTGTTAACTTCTTAGCAAAGATTTATTGGTACCTAGATTTTTTTATAACTGCAATGTCATTTGGAGCCTTTGAAATTTAAATTTTGGCTTCATAACAAACTGAGCCTTAGTTTTCCAGTCGAAAGCTGAGGTATCAACCTCCCAACCTGTAGACATTGCCACAATGTTTTATTATTTTAATATATCATTCATACGCACAAGCATTTCTTGTAATGATTAAACAACAATGGAATTCCTTCTCAACTCGCGAGTTAGTCTATAGTTAGTTGTTGTGTATCCTGAATATTTCATGAAAGAGATGTCGGCTTTTATATTAAAACTACAGCAACTGGTTGCCCTTTAGATTACAAGTAGAATGATGTATAAATCTCAAAGTAGTAAAGCATTTGACTTGTCAGGTTTGTCACCAAAAATATTTGGTTAACCCAGAAAGTATTAAATTGATTAAAAAATTGTTTTTTATATTTTTTTTTGTTGTCTTTTAGTTATGAACGAATTATTTAATTATAACGGTACGCTACGAAGTTAGCAGTGTCAGCTAGTACTATATAAATCTTTATAATATAATAACATAAATAAACTCATCTAAATCTTTGCAAATCCGTTTTAATGTAGTTTTTGATCATGGAAATGAAATTTTCATAGCCAACTCTGTATACTAGTAATATGAATGTATAAATGCATTTATTCCTGGTGTGTCCTAATTGAAGAAGTTGCTTCAGTGAATTTATGAATGACACATTTTTGAAAAATTACGACCGGATTTCTGTGACTTTTTAAACACATTTACTATGAAAACCATTAATTATACTGTGACAAAAAAAGGTAAACAGGTATATTTATCTGATTTTAATAATTATTGATATACATGTTCAGCGTCCCTAGTAAAATGATTAAATGTTCAACTTGATTCGTCAACTTACCGCAGAAGCCGGTTCTTGTACACAATTTCTTACACACTCTTTACCATGCCTGGTCATCGTTCTGATGAGTTGGTCGATATCCTATTGGCATCTCATTTCAGGCTACTGCAACTTCGTGAGTAATAGCTGCTGAAATCTGTGCAGAGTGTTGCAAATTCAAGAACCTGCAACCTATCATGTCTCAGACATGTTCAATTGAAAACAGATCAGGCGATAGTGGTGGCCAAGGTAAATGGTTGATGGGATGTTGATCCATGAAGGCTAAAGATTCTCTGGCAACATGCGGTCTGGCATTTTCTTGATAAAAAATCGGGATTTGGAAGATGTTTAGGTGTGGAATAAGATTTCCTGAATATAGTGTCCCATTATAGAGGTAGCACTTTATTTAGGCGATAGAAAAATAGGCCAAACTGTCGTATTCGGCGATATACCATGTGCATACCAACCATCCTTTCAAGTTCTTCAAACCACTGATTTGGAATGGCTCAAGTAATACTGAATCTGTCTCTTATGAACCAGAAGTCTTAATCGAAGATCTTGTCGCTCCGTGGTCCCTCTGTAGACGCCCAGAACTCTTAACTGGGAGACCTTGGCCTTCCAAGTCCACACTCATTCACATTGCAGTATACTCGGTAAGGATATGTTGGTCCTCCTAAAACTCTCTTATTGATAGAATGGCTTCATAAAACCTGTCAACCTCTCTCAAAAGTTCTTAGCTAAGACACCCAATGTATCCTATGAACTCTAGACATTTTGAACAATCCAAAAGGCTCCTCAATCAGCTATACGAAATTGACTATTCTGATTGTAATGATTTATTTAATTGACACCGTAAATTCAAGAAAAATAAATGATTCTTAATTACCAAAGAATTCTCACAGTCACCAACAATACTTAACAGATAAACCTGAAAATTGTATCACTTGTTTGTAACAAGATAAGTTGATATCTAAAAAAGTTTGAATGAATTCTAATAAACATAAGTAGGTGTTTACCTTTTTTTGTCATTCAGTGTACACTTAATTATTAGCAATGTCAACCTGTACCTACCTCTTGTAAACAGATCAGAACAAACGAGATTCCGGCATAAACCAGACCTAAAATCATGAAACACCCTGTTTCTATGTGCTTGTGCCATTTTTGCATGGATATAATAACATGAGTAACCCAGTTCCGTTATTTTCTTTGCCAGCAATTCTACTCGTTGTGTAGAATTGCAAAAAATAATACTTTGATTAATTTGTAACTGCAATAAAAAATAAATTATCAAGATTAGATTGTCACTGTTATACTCTTTTTCATGTTAAACATAAAAGTAGATTTCCTACCTTGGAAAATAGAGTATTTAAACAGTGCACTTTCTGTCTTTCCTGGACAAATGCATAATACTGCGTTACACCTTTCAGTGTAAGTTCTTCCATGAGGTTTATCTCATATGGATCTCGTAAATGCTTTCTCATAAATTGTTCAACTGTCAAAGGGAAAGTTGCAGAAAATAGTAAAATTTGCCTCTCTTGTGGTAAATTTTTAATCACAGTGTCAAGCATTCCCTAAAATAAGTTAAATTTGAATGAATGTAAAATGTTGTCATTTTAAAAGTATATAAACCTATAACAGTGTTTAAAGTTGGAAATATCTCAAAAATAATAAACAAAAACAAATGCATGCAATATGTACAATGTGAAAAGAATGATTTGGAAAACTATCAAATAACTACAACATATAGAGCCAGAAAACAAAAATAACACTATACAAAACTCTTGTACTGCAAGAAAAGGACGAGATAAAACTAAACAAATATTTGGTGGTAAACATGTGATATCTTCCATAAAAATAGGAAGATAAAGTGGGCAGGACGGACATCTAAGAAGATCTCAGCAGAACAACCCTCCTAAATGAATCCTTAGCCAGGATTTTTCCTTGAAAAGAAAAACATTTTTCGCTAAATCAGGGCTTTTCAATCTCTTACATTAACATATGGTAATTTTGTCATAATTACCTTAAAACCAGAGGTAGCTATGAAAAATGACATAAAAACAATTGTAAATTAATATCAAATGTATTTTGTGAGATTGTCAAGCTTATTGCTATTTGTGTTTAAAATGATTCCGAGGTAAAGTTGGTGATAGGACAATTTTTTGAATCATTATTAGAACCTGGAAAATAATCGGAAAACGCGAATATGTTGGAATTATTTGATATAGTATAGAAAATATAGTCAGAAAATACAAAACTACAGATTCGGTCGCCACAAAACCTAGAAATAATAAAATAGCTGAAGAAGATCGAAGGGCATTAAGATGCAGTATAATGAAAAATCGCTGTGCAACTTATCTAGACAAGTGACATTGTTGGAAAACAAATTTCTAGATCAATATATCACCGAGAGGCACACAAATTAGGATTTGGTAGATTAAAATGAAGTTAAAAAAGTTAAAAAAATCAGTATGAATTGTTTTAGAAAAATTTCATTTTGTTTCAGGCTAAGGAAAAGCCACTTTTAACATTACAACAAAAGGAACATAGGTTAAAATGGCCAAAAGAAGATAAAAATAAGGCACATTCATGATGGGATGCAATAAAATGGAGTGATGAGTCCATATTTGAAATGTTTGTTGGAAAGTCACGTTATCCACGGTAAAAATTAAGCTCTTCATTCTAACTGTTTAAAGAGAAAAGTCAAATTTCCTTTGGATGTCATGATCCGAGGCAGCATGCCGTCTAAATATGTGGGAAAGTTACATTATCGATAAAATTGTAAATACAGGCAAATATTTGAGATTTTAGAAGAAACTTTTTTACCAATTTTGGAACAAAGTTTAACATCAGCGGAAGATTTTGTCTTCCGACAGGGCGGCACAGGTTGCCATATTTAAGAAAAAAGTGATCAGAAATTATAAGCATTATCTCAGAAATGGATTGAAGACCACGATATACTATTTCTGGATTGGGTGTTTAACTCTCCTTGACTTGTACTCCATAAAAACTCTTGTAGAGCGAAATAAAATAGTATTAAAGAAACAGGCTACCAGATGTGTCAACGAATTGAAGCAAAAAGTGCAAGAAATATGGGATTCATATTACACCAAAAGTTTATCAGAACTTGGCAAAAACTATGCCTTTTGGATGTAATTAAAAATAAAGGGGATATCACACAGTGGTAAACTTAATCTTTTTTTTTTAGGATTACATATTCTGTACGTTTTGTTAAGTTGCTGTTATTCTGTTTAATTAATCGTTTTCAATAATTTAAAAATATTTTCTTTAATTACAGTAAAACCTCCCTTACCCGAAACCTTTTTAACCGAAACGGCTGATACTTTCAATCATTTCGTCAATAAAAAGTAAATTTTAATCGCAAAAACAATTTCGCTGATTTCACTCACTGATATATGTGTGTTCGGAAATAAAAAAAAAAACAAGAGCTCTAAAAGAAATTTACGAAAAAGCACTTCCAGTTTTTTGTAGAAGCCAAAAAAGCTCATGGAATCATCATCATCAAAGAATTCATCCCACGTCTAAAATTCTTTTTAAAATAAAAAACCTTCTCATCAAAGCATTGTTGTTTGTTGACGATGCGCCAACTCACCCTCAAAATCTACAAAATGGTACCAATTGTCAGATTTTCACCACCGAATGTCACGAGCTTAATTTAACCGTTAGATCAGGAATTAATAGAGACATTCAAGAGACATTAGAGGAGCATTCTTAAGACATTTGTTATAACAAGAGACGAACGAATCAAAAAGTGTTCCCGAAATTCTCAAATCTTTAACAATGAAACATGTTTATTGGTGTGCTGAGTTGTGGGCCAAGATCAACTCTTCAACTTTGGAAAAATCCGGGAACAAACTTTTTGATGGGATTTTGAATGACGATCCTGAAGAAGAACATGGTAAAGAAACGACAGAAGAAATTAAACCTTTAGTAAAAAAAATTGCTGGAATGTGACGAAATTAACCAAGAGATACATGAGTGGTTAGCAGCCGATGACTCAAAAAGTGAATTCATCAACCAGGATATCATTGATATGATTCTTCATCCAGACAACCTGAGCTTATCAGACGACGAAGATGACGACCCAACAGACAACAGGCAGAACGAGTCGCCGACGAGATTTTCAATGCCTTAGAGTTAAGAATTGTATACAGTAGGCCTAATTAGTTAGGGACACGACTAGGTTCTTAATTTTGGTAGTCACTGCATAAAGTTTTGTCCTTGTCAGATTGCTTCACGTTTCGTCGAACAATTGAATGAGACAAACTAATGACGTTCTGCAAATGAAGGATGGAGAGATATGGCTGCAAAACATCTGTTCTAGAAATGAACATATTGTTTTAAAATATAAAATAAAAATGTAATTCTTTGACTTTTCTTAGTGTAGAATAACTAGAACAGTCACCTCATCAAGTTTGTTCGCGACACCCGACTGAGTGGCGTCTGACCCTCTTAAATATTTTTCACACCTAAATAAAATAGGGCTAATCTTCCCGTTCACGCATTATGTAGTGTTTTATCAGTTCAGGTTCACACATGGCCATCGAGGCATCGCATCGAGTAGTTTAAAAACTCGCAATTCACGTATTAAATATTTTTCTCCGCCGAAATCGGGCATTTTCTAATACCGGCGTTTTTCTTTTACGTGTTATAAAGAAAGAATACATTTGATATTATATAGTAAGTTACGGCCTCTCTACTCTTAAAAGATTTAATTATAAATCGATAAACTCAAAAGTGCTTTTATTTCTTTGGAGCTATATTTGCTCATATTAAGAATCTTTATCCTTCAACGGTCACTGAAGAACCAAACCTATGGAGATACATCCATTCACAAGTCCTTTGAAGTAAGGCTTGGAATCCAAAGATTCCCAACCCTCTTATGTAGGTAGCCAGTTACAAGGCTCCCTCAACATTGTTGTCAAACAAAACCGCAAAAGAAAATAGATTTCTTTAAAAAATCATGTTAAACTTGTTCATTTTCCTTAGTTTTATTACTTTATTCTGTATTTACTTATTAGAAAACATTACGAAATCACCTCATAGTATTTTTTATACCAATACTTTGACCAAGAATACTATACAAAACAATGTTATTTTTAAATGAAATTCTTGTTATCCAAAACGGCCTCCTCTCCCCCAATTATTTCGGTTAACGCAGGTTTTACTGTATGGAAATCAAAAAATAATGTTTAATGAATAAATATTTTAAAGTTTATGCTAGACTTTTGTTTTGTTATCTAAAATTTAATTTTCTTTTCAACCATTGAGCCAACCAATAGATATGGCTTTAGCACCAATAATGACAATATGAAACACATAGAACAGAATTTTTAAGGAATAATGTAGAATAAAAGTGGTTAGTTGAGTTTAATATAATACCTTAAAATCTTGAGACAGTAATTTGTCAGCTTCATCTAATACAAGAATTTTACATTGGTCCATAACTGCTACTCCTTTTTCCATAAGGTCAAGTATACGCCCTGGAGTTGCTATGATAACTTGCACTTTTTGGTATATACGCATAATGTCATCTCTTAAGTTTGTTCCACCTGTTGTCACCATAACACGTACCTAAAATTTGGTATATTTAGTAAACAGAATTATGATGTAATATGTCCCGTCAATTTTAATACCAACCTCTAGGTATTTGGCTAGTTCTATGCATATTTGTGAAGTTTGTAATGCTAATTCTCTCGTTGGTACTATAATTAGTGCTTGAATACAGTCTTTTTTAGGGTCGATTTGCTCTAACACAGGAATACTGTAAGCACCAGTCTTACCTAAAAAATGAAACAATGCATTATGTAAATGTTTTGTTTCTAGCGAATGCTGTTCAACTATTTGATAATGCTAGAGTTATTGTTTTTTTTTATGAATTAAATCGACACCTGATATAGATAACATTGTAACTCTACTTAGAATGTTTTCCAACTATTGATTAAATAACATTTTGGTCTAACAACTTTTATCATATCTTATGTAAATATAAAGTTATTTAACAAAACAACCTCATTGTAAATTCAAATTTTGAATCACTTGGTGGAAAAAATGTTGTAATCAATGTTACAATATTATAAAATTTTATTATTGATGAATATTTTTTATAAAATCATTGTACCATTATATACAAATTTAAATGTGAAGCATATGTTGTTTACAAGTTTTAGAAATATTATTTTCATTTATAAATTTTACTGAGCTTTAAATTTTATAAATCAGAATATAAAACCATTCTTATCTGAATTTAGTCAAGATAAGAATGATTTATCAATTATCAAACAATTAATTGAAACTAAACAAATAATTTATATTTTACATAGTTAAAATGTACTGCATACAATGAAATTCTGTAAGGAAGTCAATTAATAGAGATAATATTGATATAGAAAAATAACATTTTCAGTAAATTCAGGCAGTATAGAAGAAAAAGGCAAAAATGTACCTACCAAATGCTAAAAAGAAATTAATATACCTGTTCCATTTTTTGCTCTAGCAAGTACATCTTTTCCAGACAGTGCTATAGGGATAGAGGCTTCCTGTATAGGGGATGGTTTCTCCCAGCCTTTTTCGAAAATTCCCATAAGTAGTTCTCTTTTTAAACAAAATTCTTCAAATTCATTACCACGCGTATCGGTTACATCCTAAAAAATACTTTGTTAAAACATTGATATTTGTAATATTTTAAGTTTATATTTTAAAAATTTGTCAGAATGATTTATCATTTATAAAAAAAAATGAAGGGGAATCTCATGTCATCATAATAAATACATCTTTAATAGAAATCATCCAATTTCAGTTGAAAATGGACTTAATTTTGATGTTTCAATTTCCACTATAGGAAATCGTTTTCAACATATAAATTAAACAAATATTTTGTTTTGTTACTTGATAATACATACTCAGCCTGGAAATTTAAATGGTGATTTTCGTCACTTGTTTGATAGTTACTTATTCGATATATAAGAATTACAGCTAAATAAGCGAAGATCTTTATTTTTTATACATGATGGAGCTCCATCGCACTTAAGTCAATCCATACGAAGTAGTCCAATATAAATTAAGTTGATTGCTTGACTATTTTTAATATTTTTTTTTTACCTTTTTTACTTCAGTCTATAGACAGTACAAAATTGCATTCATTTTATTTTTTTAAATATTATTTTGCCGATGGCGGCCATTTTGTTCAAAACATTGTCATTGAATGACCGAGGAGGCCAACAAATCAAAGCTTCTATACCTCTACCAATCCAGCGATTTAAAAAATACTTTTTCAACCAATTACGACACCTTCTATCAAAGTGGGCCAATTCATGCCAAATGGTCCAAAGGTGGATGCTTGACTATTTTTAATATTTTTTGTTTTTGTACCTTTATACTTCAGTCTATAGACAGTACAAAATTGCATTCATTTTATTTTTAAAAAATTTATTTTGCCGATGGCGGCCATTTTTGTTTCATCGTGTCTGTCATTTTCACGGAAAACATGGCTTCACTCTTTTGCCAATATTTTCACTTAGGTTTGTCCTAACTTCAACTTCAAATTTTTACCCCTTATTCTACTCATTAGGAAACTAACATTCAGCCAAATTTCAAATTTTTACTTGCTTGCCCATCAGAGATATAAGGAGTCAAACTTTGAAATTTTTCAAAAAATTACATTTTTGAGATTTTTTTGAAAAAATTAACTTCCAAGTCTCAAAGCTCAAACTTTTTTCATTTAATGTATGTATGTATGTCTTCCAGAAAAAAAATACAAACCATTATCAGCTTGCCTTATGTTATTAAAAAAATGCTGAAAACAGAATTTTATCAGTTTACCTTTTCAAACTTTGAGGTCCATTTAAGGCATTAATGGTAGTTTATATATAAATAATGCTATGGGCAATTTTTTAGAGCATACTTTTACAAACAGTTTGGTTTTTGATTTATTGTTTTAGGACAAACCAAAGTAAAAATATTGGCAAAAGAGTGAAGCCATGTTTTCCGTAAAAGTGACCGACACGATTAAACAAAAATAGCCGCCATCGGCAAAATAAATTTTTTTAAAATAAAATGAATGCAATTTTGTACTGTCTATAGACTGAAGTATAAAAGGTACAAAAACAAAAGATATTAAAAATAGTCAAGCATCCACCTTTGGACCATTTGGCATGGATTGACCCATTTTGATAGAAGGTGACATAATTGGTTGAAAAACTATTTTTCAAATCGCTGGATTGGTAGAGGTATAGAAGCTTTGATTTATTGGCCTCCTCGGTCATTCAATGTTTTGAACTGAAGTCTATGCTTCAGAGGTAAATTTACATCAAGAATGGGAAGACACAATTCAATGTCACTTCACAACCCAACAGCACAATGTCACTAATGACATCATAGCTGATCCCCAACTGTTTAGAAGATTAATGGATTCTTTAGAAAAAAGGATAGACTTGTGTATTTGTGAAAATGGAGGACATTTTGAACACTAAGGGTCGATTGTTTGAACGCTAATCAAAACTTGATTGTAATCAAATATTTCATTAAAATCAAATCGTCATATTGTGAGGTTATGTTGACTTATTTTATTCAATTTTATTATTTTGCGTTTTAATTTAAAATAAACTATAATTAAACTCTTTCTGATGTTAATTTCATATTTACAAATCAATAATAATAAGCAATTTTTAATAATTTTGACAGCAAATTATGGGTATCTACCTGTTATAGACTTTTGTTGAAGGATTTCAATTTATTACCTTATCATATGTAAAAGTTCTCAAGAAATTAATATCAGGTTCAGTGTTCAATGAAATAAAAATCTAATCTTTAACAGAATTGTTAAAATTGTTTTACCATGTAAAATATCTGCTTATTATGCTAATTAGTAATAAGAAAGTCAAATCGGCAAAAGCAGCTTATTCAAATTATATCTATAGTCTTTTGTTGAAGGATTTCAATTTTTTACCCTTAGCATTTGTGAAAGTTTTCAAGATATTTATATTTTCAGATTAGAAATTGTAAGTGCGATATTAGGTAAAAATTAAAAGGTCTAGAAAATAAAATCTTTATTTAAACTAATATACTGAAAACAGTCTATCTTTTCGTTGAATAGTATTTGCGAAAACAATCTGCTATGCATAGTCCAATTTCGTCAGAATCAGCACACTCGTAAATTGTGTTTTTCCTAATTTTATGGATAGAACATATTCTACACAAATATTTGACATGGGCGTGGGCTGTGTTCAATATGCGTTAGTATTGAAAAACGTGTACTTGGACTAGGTTGGACCATATGTGGGCTGCGCGTGGGATGTGCGTGGGCTGTGCTCAATTTGCGCCAGGCCTTACTGTAATTGAATTTTACGTTCTTTGTCTTTATTTTAATTTTCTTGGGACTTTTTTAATTAATAACTTTATCATTAGTTTATACCAGCATCAATTATTACTTCATATTGTTCAGATCAGAAAATTCCAAAAACATTACACATTCTACCCTTAAAAAAGTTATGTTAAATAATACTTGGGATTTACAGTGAACCTTTTAAGTAGCCCCATCTATCTATAGCGTAGATATAAAAACAAATTTATGAGATGTATGGGCTTCCAAAACATATTAATATAAAATTTTATTACAATGTTGCCAGTATGTTCGGCAAAATCATAAAAAATATATAATTTTTTTTCTTCAACACACTTTATCTTGAAAACGGCTTTACAAAATATTTTTACTATGCAAACTCCAATTACTTTTCAGATTTTATCTATCCTACTGACAGTGCTACCTTTTTTGAAACACCCTATATACATACATACATACATACATATATAAGCTATTTCCTTGTAGCATTTTACTATTACATATTTACTATCTTTAATGGGACTTGAAACACAGAAAATATGTTTCAATTCTCTTTTCTAAAATTGTTGTCAAAATACAAATTAAATTTGTTTTATTTTGTTACTTCGTAATAAAAAAATTCTTCTAATTTAATTTTATCTGCCTCACTGATATTGACAATTCGGACATATATTTATTAAATATTTTAAAGTGAAAATGACTTTAAAATTATGTCAGTATTTTTGATGTGTGTTCCTGGATGACTTTATTGGAGGATATTCATTTGATTAAAAGAAATTAACCTTAACTTGGGAGAATACCCGTCAGAAAATAATAGCAGTGATTTGGATTTAAAAAGACAAAAAAACCCAATCAGTACATCAAAATTCTCTCGTTAGTAATGCAGATCTAAATTATAAGGAAAACCCAGAAAAAAATATGATTCTAGTTTGCTCTCAATATTAACATAAAACTCTAATTTCACATGCATGTGACATAATATACTTATTTTTAACCTTGATTTTAAACAGATGCCTGCATATTTAATTTCTTAAATACTTTGCTGAAAGTTTTTCTTTAATACTCACACTGTTTGAATTCTCCGATCCTTTGGGGGAATTTTAAGTTTTGCTTTCCATCCCAAATCATCCACCTTATTGTCATAATCCCTAAAATAGCAAAAAATTATTTTAGAATAATATACTATTTAGTAATAAACATAACAATTAAAAAACAACTGCAGTTGTTTTATAAATGTTATCATTGGAGTTTCCAATCAACCAATCAACAAACATACCTGTTTGGTATAAGTTCATTAATTTTGCACATTAAATTTAATTATTTTTCATTATTTAATTTTGTAAATAAAATCAGAGGTTTATCTGGCCTGAATCAAGAATTGATTAATTGTATTCCCGGTTTGGACAATGTCTTTCTTGAGACACCTTTATGTGGGTCCATATCAACATCTTACTACCCTTGTAGACAGGCTTCTAAAGAAATGTGAAAAGGTTATTGGTCACTGTATCTCAGGTAAGGAACATAGCCAGACATCAAAGTTGTGGATTAACACATCTGTAAATATTGAGTATTTTGAATTACTAAGTGTAAATTCATCCCTTGACTGTTAGTTTTCACTGATGAATGCAGTAGATACTTGAATTATCATGGCCAACAGCATTTCCCTGTTCCTGAAGAAGCTATCTACCAGGGTAACAGGATGTTGATATGGACCCATATATGCATCATCCAAGAAAAGACACTGTCTAAATGCAGAAGGCAATTAATACTGTTATCTGAATTTTATTTAAAACAAAAATCTATATGTAGAGTTGTTCAAAATTATAATATATGTGTAAAGAATGAAGAAAATATTTGTAGTAATCTAGTAATAGTAGTACTAATCACTCTAACTGGCTCCAAAAACTATTGAGTTTGCTATCAAAATGTAATAGCCATTGAAAAAATAGTGATTAGTGTTGGCTGTATAAATTATTACATATTATATATGTAATAATTTAATTTTAAACCAGATAAATGGGATTAGTGATGGGAAGACCTGGTTTGTTTCAGTGACCCAGGTCTTTCAGGTCATTCATTAAAATGACCCATTCATAAAGTTCCGTTCATATGAATGACTAATTAAATTTGTTGTGTAAAGGTCAAGTGTGTAGAATTTAATATTGATATGTTTATGAATCTTTCTGAGAGTGTATGAATTAATGATAATGCAGGACCCATTCATAGAGATTCCTTCATTAGAAAGACTTTGATTATATTGTTGTTTACATGTAGAATTCGATATTGTTACTATAAATTTAAGAATGAAATATAGTTTAAGGGTAACATTAAGATTTGTATTTCTCAAATCATCTTCAGAAATCATTAAAATATAAAAAAACACTTGAAAAAATTAAGTAAAATTACAAATTCCATATTGTTATGTAAAAATGAACAATTAATATGGATTTTATGTTCTATAAATTTATAAACAGAACAGACTACGGAACTATTGACTCAACAATTCAAATGTATATAATTTTACAGTTTTGTAGCATAAGGGTTTTGCAGTTCTGGGAAACTGAAATCAACATTTGAATGATCCTTTGAGGTTCGCAATTCATGCATTAATTTGACAGAGCAAATTTTTTGTAAACACTAGACAGCGTCATTCATAGGCATGATTCATAGGGTCATTCGAACTGTAGGGTCACAGAATGTGATTGATCATTCACGAGCCTTTGAAAAGATCAGATCTTTTCTAATGAACGGTTAATTTGTGACCTTCTCATCACTAGATGGGATACCTAACAAAGTTTATAATTATTGTATCCTGTTTATCAATAATTCACTATGAAGAGAGCTAGTCAAATATAAGGTAATTTACTTGAATACACATTTGCAGTGAAGGCAGTTTGTAGATTAGATAAATTATTGATTTTTCAAATGATAGAACATGACAAAAGGAAAAACGCAACAAGTTTGGTGTAGTTAATAGTTTTTTGATCTGTTTGATCTGACAATAAATATAACCACAGTAGCAACATATAAAAGGCATTAAAAAATAAAGCAAAACTGAGAATAAAGTATGCAATATTTGAAAAGGATCGATCAAGTATATTAAGATACAGACACTGACTTGAAAAAAAATTATTCTGAGAAAAACGTGTTTAAAAAAAGGCTTATTTTTTGAAGCAAAGCTTTTATAATTGCGTTATATTATTTTTGCTGAGTCGAGCGCCATGGAACTAGCCACGAGAAAGTATTGTCAAAGGTAATGTCATAGAATGGCAGTTCTTGGCATTGATTCACTACTTTCAATCAATTCTTACATATTTAATGATTTTACAGATTCACTCCCGACAAATTTAAAAACTTGGAACTCATGTATAGAAGTATACCTTTAAAAATTTAAAAACACAAAAAAAATACTCTAACGCCTCTTAAATATACTGGAATCTACCATTTCTTTTTAATGGGTCTACAAAAAATTAATTTCTACACTAGCAAAATTTGAAATATGTATTACAACTTGTTTCTAATGGGATTAGAATATAACAAGATATCCTACAGTATCCTATAATATTGAAAATTTCTCTATTGCTGTGCTTCCAGTGAGTAGTGGATAATAACAAAAATATATGAAAATTCATAGAAATACCTATATAAATAAAGGAAAATAACAAAATTCACCAAGTACATACACTTATTTATAAATAAACCTGATTATACTGAAAAAAATAAAAGTTCCTATTTCTAAGATCCATCTATAAAAAACTTTTTAGATTATTTGTAAGAAAAGTCTGAACACCTAGAGACAATTTTCTACTTTTCTTTACAGAATAATTAAAAAAAAAACAGAAAAATCTTTGTAAAAGAGATCCACAAATTTGTGAACCAATATTCCCAATTAACAGAGGTTAGATTATTTACTTACTAGTTTAAATATCTGGGAACAGTAATCACAGATGGCAAGGACAAAGGAAGGTTCTCAGAATGATACTTAGAGAGTGGAGAAGGCATAGCAATGCTGAATTGGTGGGTAAGGTATATAAAAGCTAACTGGATAAGATGGGCATGTCATATGGTAACATCAGAGGAAGACATAGTGCTAAAGAGTGTTTTTTAAGAAACCAGACAGTAGAAGATCAGTAGGCTGTCCCAGAAAGATATGGAAGGATGATGTTAAAGCCAATTTATCTAGGATTAGGGTATACAAATGGGAAATAGAAGCACAAGATCATAGTAGATGAAGGGGTATAGTGGATGAGGCAAAGACTCACCATGAGAAAGGTTATTTTGTTAGAATATGCAGCTGATAACTAAAATTTCAATAATACATAAGATTCCTTATTAGATAGGTGCCTACTGGTAAAATATTGATATAGTGTGGCTCATTACATGTTGTTTTTATCATTATCACACATTATGAGTATTATGGTACTTTGGTACATTTATTCTTAATGTAATTTTTAAATGAGCTGTGATTTATCTACAGAAAAAGAACTTCAAAAAGGCAGCTAAACACACTTTGTATGCTAAAAACTTTTCTGAGTAATGTATTATATATTTTTTAGGCCATACTATATATTTGACAGTTTCATTTTCCCTAAATACTTTTAAAAAATTTTATATTAAAAAAATAAACTCTCATCCACAATTAAAAAATTTCAATAGAATTAGTTATTTTATTTTTAAGAAATTAAAAGCAGCAAAATGTTTTTTATGCTAATCTAAATTAACGGTAAAGACAAGGTATTCTGATACCTGATATTAAAAAAGTGCAATTAGTAGTCACAAAAAATTTCAAAAAAATGTTATTGGTATGAACTGCCACAGGTTTAAAATTGATTTTAAATTCTCACTTGGTATTTTATAAGCTAATATATGATGCACAAAGACTAAAATAAATCTACAATAATTTATTAGCACAATTAGTTAAAAAATTACAAAGATACAAACTAAGGAACAAAATTTTAAAGTCAAATTTACTTTATACACATACTAATATTTACCTATAAAAACTTAACAAGCAATAAAAATGAACAATCAGAATACTTACACTGTGTTGGGTAGTCCCATAAGGTGATTATTGTTTGATTTTATGGTTTCTGTCATATTTACTGTCCAATATAAAAAGTCTGGGTTTATAAAACCCAAAATTACACTACAATATGTAGGATAAGCCTAATATTTGTTCAATCCCAATACACAGATGGACTTGACTGATCTAAAACATCCAATAACAAGATTATTAGTTTTGTTTATTTGGCATCAAAATATATTAGTTTTTAAAGAGATAAAACAAAACAACGAAATTGAAATATAACTGCAATAGTATCAAAATAACATTATTATACTTTAATAAATTATTATATTCTAAAAATTGTAAAAGATGTTAAAAATTATTAAAGATCCAAGTACTTAAAATTAAACAAGATGGCTTCCTAATGCCCCCTATCTCATTCTGTGAGCAATACTACGTTATTTTAATATTACCTGATTTGTTAAACAAAATTATGTCATTGAATTCTTATTATCTTGGTACATTTCTCATCCAAATACCTTTTAGAACTTATTTTAATGTTTTAATAACACGAATTTCAGATAGGAAAGCTTTTTCTCTGCTTTTTCATTTACATTAATGAAACTAAAATGTCTAAAACCTCTGATAGCAGCATCTGGCGGAAGGTAGGAGGGGAACTCGAATTTCAAGCTTGGCAGTGCTGTCGTTTATTCAGCAAAATAAAGTCCGTGATTTTTAAGAAAAATAATGAAACCAGAAGAAATTCTCGTAATCTAATTCATAAAAATATAAATATAATATAATATATATATACAATATTAAAATGTCATAATTTAAGATATGGATATAATGACATTTTGCTTTCAAACAAATTAAAAAAATAAGTTGCAAATTGTGTAACTTGTAAACGGCAAACAAGAAGATTTTGTAATTCTCCACTATTACACCATTTTTATACAGTTATATATATTTATTTTTAACTGTATAATTTCGTATAGTTAGTATAATACAGTATATTATTGGTATTAGTGTACTATACCTACTTTTTTAAAATATTTTTTATTTAACTGCTCAACAACCATTTTTTTCTGTACATATTATTTGTTGTATTTTTTATTTTATTGGGCCGTTAAGTAAATTAATAATATATGAACGTGAAAGATTTTTACATTAGTGATGACGCCACTTCTCTATTTGCCGACGTTAAACATTAAAATTACCAAAAATTTTCATCGTTTTCTGTTGTCAAAAAAATCCGTGGATCTAGTGATAAATCATTAAAATGGCAGCGCTGAGTTGGTAATTGAGATGGAACTAAATTTTATCAGTCGTACCAATACAGTAAAATTGAACATACTTTGTAGTCACAGAACAATTTATTGCTCTATTGACAATAAATTCATAATCAAAAAGGAGTAAGAAAAACATATAAAAACATATAGTATTACTCCATTCGCTTAGCTCGGCACAGGCTCGGGCATATTTTGACAGATATTCATTGTCGGAAACCTACACCACAACAATTCCTACTTCTCAGTATTAATAGCTTAAATATACTCTATTGCAGACTTCTTTTTTTTTGTTTTTAAAGAATAATTTATTCTAATAGTGGAAGTGTATATTACTAAACCTATAAAATTTTCCCTGTGTATTTAAAATATAATATTTGAGTTGTTACAATTTAATATTATATTGTAGTAATATTTGTATTATACGCGTTGTTTATTTTAGCTAATATAGTTTTATTGTTCTATTATTTTTGTTTAATCCTTTGTTAGTTCTATTTAGTTATAGTTCTATTTTATTATTAGGTATAGTCAAAGTTTTCCATTTGTTCTATCAGATAATGCGTTGGTAAGGTTTTCTTAAATAAATACGATAAATGTTCTTTAAAAATAAATATTTTTAGATGAGTAGTTGATCACTAAAATATATTAACGAAATTATGTAAATATGTTCTTAATAACAAAAACATTTCATTTAAAAATTTATTAAATTAACTAGGAAATAATAAACGTTTAATAAATATACTTCATCTAATTTAGATAACGACTTACGTCATTATCTACGTCAGAGATCGAAGTTGACATAGTTGCCAAAGTATAAAAAAATCCTGACTCCATTTTAAATCAAATAGATTACATAATTATTGCAAAAGTATTACCATCTCTTTACAACGACTATTTAAATTCTTACGTGACATTTTTGAAATAAAACACACTAATTTTGTTCTAAAAAGAACAGATTTTATTAAATAGTTAAAAATATAAAACAAGAGATATTCACTTTAAAATTCAAAATAATGAAGTACAAAAAGTGTCAACACCGCAACTGTCAAATAAGTGTTACCAATTTATGCCAAAATTTTACCTTCGTTCGATTACAGTTACAGTATGTTCCGAACAAATGTACTTGATAAAAACGCTTTATAATGCATTTATACAAATGAAATGAAACATATTATTGTGTATTTCTTTAAGTTAACATTACTAGAAATTTTTAAAGATTATTTCTACGCGTATATTATAAAATATGTCTAGTGGCTGTAATACCAGTGTACTCGGTAAAGTGATTCTAAAAAAGAACACACCTACACCCTAAATATTTTGTGTTGGTATCATGTGACGTCACAGGCTATGACGTGCATCGTTATATAAATTAGATGAAGTGTATATTCTCAAGAAACTCCAGCTAAATCCTAACAAATAGCTTAAGTTTGGTTGCCTACATTTGGCGCAACCTAACGATATAAACTATATTACCGTAACTTTTTTATAAAATATTATTTTTTATATATTAATAGAAGCTTACTTTTTTATACATGCTATAAATTTTCAAGTCATAGTATAAACACAGTATAAAGAGGTTCCAGCAAAGCACAGTATAGAGTGGTATATAGTTTGCAAAAGAAGCCGACGAAATACTCTAATGAAATGCGTTATGAGCACGTGTGCTTGGTTTTATAGTAATTTTTAGCCACTTCTAGTCTGTCAAAAAGTAACTTCGCAAAAAAATATAATTACTAAATTCACTAGACAGTTCTTGCTTTGTGATCTAAGGTCCAGTCGATGCCTCCTGCATGTAAATGTTCGTCAAAACTCTGGCGAAGAGAATTTGTGAACCACAGCATCTGCAAAGCGAACTCTCGTATATGTTTATGTATAGGCAAAGCGTTCTTGTCCGCTTGTATCGGAGGTAACAGAATTGAAAACCATTTTTCACAAATTTAAATATAATTTTAACAAAATATAACTTTCAAGTATGTCGTATATTTAATGTCGACGAGACAGGCATTACCATGGTGCCAATTCCATCCAAAATTATAGTCCCAAGAGGTGTTAAACAACTGGGAAAAGCTATAAGTTGAGAGAGAGGTCGAAACATAACTGTGTGCTGCTCAGTAAGTGCATCATAGATATATATCAATTTGATGTTTATATATATATATATATATATATATATATAGTATATATATATATATATATATATATATATATATATATGTATATATATAATATATATATATATATATATATAATATATATATATATATATATATTTATATATGTTAGAATACGAATGTACTATGTACATTCATGTAGAATGTCGGAACAGCTCAAACGCAATGGACCGGTAGGCGCCATATATGAATACTCGACCAAAGGCTGGATGAATGAAGAGTTATTCTTGATTTGGCTTAAGCACAGAAGCATTTTAATAAACACGCATCTTCTTCGATGGACAACCCAGCATTGTTGTTGTTTGATAATCACAGCAGTCTGTCATCGTCAAATGTCAAAGCTACAGTCACTAGATGTGATATTTTTTGGGCCGCTAAAATCTGCCTATTCAAATGAATATTCACTCTATATGAGACGAAATGTTCACCAGAAAATAACACCATTTAATATATCTGATATTTTCAACCGCACATTCGTTCGTGTAGTTACCATGGAAAAAGCTTAAAATCGCTCTGAAATAAGTATATAATAATATACATATATAATAACATAATATATAATAATAAAATGTATATAATATATACAGTGCTTTTCAGATAAAACTATCCCTGTCTCAACTCCCAGTGCTGCCGGTGTGTAGATTCCCAAGTTTTCTCTTCCCAGCTCCTTCATCTTCTGTACCAGTTTCCTGCATGTTTTCAGGAACTTCACCGGTATAGGTTCTTCCTTTTTGTTTGGAAGAAGTTTAAATCCATACTTCTCCTTGTGGATCCACGTTCCATCTTTATGAGCAGACATCGTGACTCTCATAGTTCCCAGGCCGCCCTCCTCGTCCACTTCCGCTGGAGCACCTGGTAGCTGCGGAAATATAGCTTTGGCCTTTTCCATAGCTTTGTTGTCCTCGTCATTGTTGGTGACAAAGACTGCCACATCTCCTGTTATTTCTGAGATGTCTCCTTCTTTCACTATAGTCCTAGTGAAGACCTCCTCTGGCCAGTCTTCATTTAAAAACTCTATCGTTTCCTTCTCTTCCTTACATGTTGTCATCTTGTTCGTGATAGCGTCTACCCTTCGTTTAATGGCCTCTGGATTTTCTAGGTCCACTTGAACCCCCATTGTCGCCAACTTCTTAACTTTCAAGGGTTCCATGTTGATCTGCACACCTGTAGATGTCATGCACACAGATTTCCTTGGAGCCTCTTCTTTATTTTCCTCCACTTCCTCGATATAATCGAGCATCCGATTTCTCAGGATGTCGACCTCCCTCTTTATGGATAGCCTTGTATTTGGCACCTTTCTCATAAGTTTCTCGAGTTCCGCTACGCTACGAGTTAAATTATACCTGGATATTATTATTTGTAAAGATAGAAAAAATACGTTTGATGTTTAGATTAGGATTAAGATAGCTGGAAATTTTGTTTTTTTGAAAACCCTAATGGCATTTTTTAAAAGAGAAAATAGTTTGGTAGAAAAATACGTCATGACTAAAAGTTGTTTTGATTGGCTAAAAATGGTAAAGAGGAAAGGTAAGGACTAGAGAGGGAGTGAGAATGAATGATTAGAAAAGGCAGTGAGTCTGTTTTGTTCGATTGAAAGGTTTGGTGGTTAGTGTACGAAAAAAGGAAATTGCC